ATCCTGCATTCCTCTTCATCTTTTGCTGCTTAATTTTCAGATTGGAGATAGAAAGCTACATACACATACATAAAGTGTGCATGTATTTTTGAAGTGTTAGTCACAGTTTCCTAGTATTAATTTTTATCCAATTAATTATATCTGCACTCATTCTAGTCCTACCTTTTTGTTAAAATGAATAATCTCCAGTTCTGTGAAAGAACAAACCTTATAATTATACACAGGAACCTTCTAATCATCATATTTTCATTCTATAGATCATTCCTATTGGCAAACAGGTGTGTTAAAATATACATCATGTTTAAAAATAAACATATTTGCTACATATCTTGGCTCAATTTTATAGCAAAACTTGAAATAAAATGCTGAATATCCAGCTCTTCCTCACGTCTCGTTCTTAAGTCACCTCAAGTGAAGTGAGTCCCCGTATGTCACTGAACTCGTTCCTGACAAAGCACCACGGCCTCCGTGTTACAAATCCAGTGGTCCCTTCTCTACCAGGTTTCTCAGTCTCCCAAACTAGACCTAGATGACCACTCGCTCAATGTTTCAGCACAGTTTTGTCTTGGTTTCCAGTGATTCACTCGCATGTTATTCTTCTCATCTTGCTGCTTTGCTTTACTCCGATTTTCATCCTGGTTCCTCCACCTCAGCTAATCCTCTAAATGTTGGAGTGCTAATTATCTCCTTTTTCTTCATTCTCTCCCCAAGACATTTTATCCAGTGCTACACAATACACTACTATCAATATGCCAATGACAGCAAAATGAATAACTTTATCAATGACATTTCCCCCACCCTAGACCACATTTGTTTGTCTAATTAACTACTTGACATTTTAGTTTCAATGCCTAATAGATATTTCAAAGGCAACAGATACCAAGTGAAAGCTTGTGAGTTTTACTCCGTCTGCCCTTCTGCTGCTCAAGCCCAAACTCATGAATCACCCAGGAGACCTACCTTTCACGTACACCCAACACCCAGTTCCTAAGCGTGTCCTATCAGTTTGAACAACCCATATCTGAACCTTGTCCTTTGACCTTCTACTTCAATACTAATATCTTCATTCAAGTCACCATCACACCCAGCCTAGAGTAATAATGGCTAACATTTGCTACAGCTTACCATATGCCAAGTAAGCAGTCATATGCTTAGCTATAAAATTTCGCTTGTTACTATCGACTAGTTATATTTAATCTCATTATATGTCTATAGTTCCACTTATTTCTTACAATAACTCTCTTTGATAGGCACTATTATATTGTAAATCTGTCAGAGGAGAAAAATTACGTACATAGAGGTTAAATAGCTTATGCATGCCCACACAGATGTTAAATATGGGAGCTAGAGTCCAGAGCCCACAAGCGTACCCACTGTGAAATGTGGTTAAAATTCTTTTTCTTTCCAACTTCATTATTGAGATATAATTGACATGTAACATTGTATAAGATTAAGATGTACAAATATGATGTTTGGATACATATATATTGTGAAATAATTACCACAATAAGGTTAGTTAACATCTCTAGTATTACTAATCAAAGGGTAAGAGGAGTAATTTCTGGGGATCTGAGGTACAGAATGGTGACTACAGTTAACAATATTATATTATATACCTGAAAGTGGACAAGAGAGTAGATCTTAAATGTTCTTAACACACACACACACACACACACACACACACACACACACCCCTCAGTGGTTAATATCCTCAATCTTTTTCAACAGTCTGTTTTCCAGGGTGGTCTTTTGGCTTATTAACTTTATTGAAGAATAATTTATGCACAATAAGTTGCATCATTCAAGTGAACCACTGAATGAGCTTTGACATTTGTATGCACCATTCAAATGACCATCACAATAAAGATAAAGAACTCTTCCATCATTCCCAAATTGCCTCGTGTTCCCTCCATTCATTCCTCCCTCCAACTAGGCAACCAACAGTACAAGTTTTTTGAGTATTCAAGAAGCATGAAATCTTATAATATGTAATATGTATTACTTTGGGTCTGATGTCTTTCAATCAGCATAATGATTCTGAGATTTATCTGTTATTACGTGGATCAGTAGGTCTTTCCTTTCTATTGCTCAGTGGTATTCCATTGATGGATGGATAGATCACAATATTCGCTCTCCTGTTTGTGTTCTCACATTTTGGCTATTTTGAATAAAGCTGCTATGAACATTTTTGTACATGTTTTTATTTGGACACGGCTATTCATTTTTTTTTTTTGAGGGGGAGTGGGGGTGGGAGGGGTCTATTCCCAGAAGTGGAATGGCTGGATCATATGTTTAACTTTTTGAAGAAACTGCCCAACAATTTTACAAAGTGCTTGTACAATTTTCCATGTCTATCAGCAACATATGAATTCTAGATGTTCCACATTTTCAGCAACTCTAGTTAGTTTCAGCCTTTATAACTTTAACCATTCTAATGGGAGTATAGTGGTATCTCATTTTGGTCTGAATTTAAATTTTGCAGATAACTAATGATGTTGGCTGTTTTTTCATGTTCTTAGTTGCTGCTCATATATCTTATTTTGCAAAATGTCTGTTCACATCTTTTGCCCATTATTAAACATTGGTTTGTTTATTTTCTCATTATTGAGTTGTAAGAATTCTTTAAGTATTCTGCATACATATTCTTTGTCAGAGGTATATTTGCATAATTTTTCCTAGACTTACTTGCCTTTGTATTTTGTCGATTGGATCTTTTGAAGAGAAAAAGTTTTAAATTTCAATATCATTCAATTTACCAATATTTTCTTCTGGTTCATACTTTTTGTAGCCTGAGAAATGTTCACAAGGTGGAAATTATTTTCTCTTGTAATTACTACTAGGATTTTTATAGTTTTAGCATTTACATTGACACCAATGATCTGTTTTGAGTTTATTTTGTGTATGCTGTGAAGTAGGAACCATGTTCACTTATTTACATAGAGACGTCCAGTTGTTATAGCACTATTTGTTGGAAAGAGTGTTTTTTTTTCCTATTGTCTCATCTTTGTATCTTTGTCAAATGCAATCGACCATATATATGTGAGTTCATTTCCAACCTCTCTATTCCCTTTCATTGATCTATATACAGGTATTTTTTTGCAAAAATCACATTATCATGATTTGTGTAACTTTATAGGTTATACAATATCTATAGGGGATGAGGTTGTCAATAGTCATACAAAAAGACTCCTGAAATTTTGATTATAAATATGATAAATATATATAAAATTGAGGAAAATTGATGCCCAAACAATACTGAATCTACTAAGCTAAGAATATTTTATATCACACCATTTATTTGTATCATCTTTCCTTAATTCTCTCAACTATGTTTCATAATTTTCAGTGTAGAGGTTTTACATGTACTTAGATAAATTTATTCATAATTATTTGTTGGCACTATTGTAAATTCAGTTTTTTAAAAACTTTTATCTACCAAGTATTAACTACTATTAAAATTGCAATTAATTGTAGACATACTATTCACCAAATTTATTCATTAGTCCTAGGGCTTGTTTGAAGATGAGCAAGGATTTTCAACAGACAATTATGTCACTGAGAATAGAAATGGTTCCGTTTTCTTTTCGGTGGATTTTGTTAGACACCCTTTTTATTATTATTATTAAGGAAGTTCACTCTATTCTTAATTTTCTGAGAGTTTTAAACTATAAACGAGTGTTGTATTTTGTCAAATGCCTTTTTGGTATCTATTTAAAGGATCCTATGATATATTTTCTTTTATTCTACATTATTGCATTGATTTTTGAATGTTAAAACAAGATAACCTTGAATTTCTACCATAAATGTCACCTGGTCGTATGTTATCATTTTAAAATATTGTTGAATTAGATTTGCTTGTTAAGAAATTTACATTTGTAGGGATATTGGTCAGTCACTTTCTTCTAACGTATTTGTCTAGTTTTGGTTTTCAGATAATACTGGCCTAATAGAGTTAAAAAGTCTTCCCCTTTTATATTTTCCTTAAGTATTTATGTAGATTTTCCCCCCCTTAAACATGTTGCAGTATTCATGAGTGAAATGATACTGACCTAAGGTTTTCTTGGTGAGAAGAATTTTAACTATATGTTCAATGTTTTTATTAGATGCAGAGTCATACACAGCAGTTTCACTGCCCTAAATATCCTCTGTGCCCCCCTATTTAATCCACCTGCCCCCCCCCTTACCTCTGGCAACCACTCTGTTTAATAAAAGGAGAAATCAGAACTACATATTACAAAAAATAAATTCCACGATTTCACTGCATTAGTCAGGGTAGCTTACTCTACATTATACCCAATTGGAATAGGAATCTTTACTGAGCTGATTCAGACATTCTGCCAATGAGCAATGCTGTCTGACAGTTCTGAGTCCTGATCATGAGTCTTCCACAGTACTAGCAAATACCTAACTGTGTTTTGATGTTATCACCAAAGATAACTTGAGGCAGCATACCTAGCATCATTGCAGGGTTATTTCTTACATACTTTTAATTCTTAAGAAATTGGTATTTCATTCCTAGAATTTCTGCCACATCTGTACACATCAGCATGTTTGATGTCACCCACTGTCTTGTTAAGATTGTAAACAGCAAATGCCACGTACATTAAGTGTCCTTAGCACTGCTAACTCCAGAGTCAAAAGTTTTATCTCCTAAATATTGCCAACCGTTGAAATCAAAGTAACAAATGAACAATTAACCTGAACAGAGGGAAAATGCCCACTCAGCACCTTGGGAAATGATCTGGTTGAGTTATGAGTCATCTCATTTTGCAAAGCAGCAATAAAAATGAGTCTTTCATTTTGCAGAGGTACCACTGGCATTTACAGCAGATGATTAAAATAAAGGAGAAAAATAACTTTTGCATTTTATTGGAACAGAGACATTTTATCCTGGCCATGCATTTTTGCCTCTGCAGGTTTCATCGATCAAAAGAAATGTCTCCATGAGTTGTTGCCAAGGGTCCAGTTATTCCCCAGCAATTCCGAAGACTGTAACTTACCTTATGGAAATTTCTGAAATATGCTGCCTTTTCATCTGGAAATTTTTCTAGTCTTCTGGGTCCTTTACTAGAAGCCTTCTTGAAAACCAACCAGCATCGCCTGAAAATCTGAAAGGAAAAAAAGGAATCTCATTATCTATCTTTTTACATGAGTTTAGTAGCATCAGGAATTTATCCATTCAATTAATCCATTGGGAATAAATTTTTTTAAATGCACTTTAAAGAAAACAACAGAGGACAGTATAATACAAAACACATAAAATGCTCTTAGCAGTAGACTTTGTTCAGCACATAATAACCATTATGGATATTTGCATACACTGTAAAAATCATTGCTTGTACCAATATATTTTAAGGTTTCAAATAACTCCCATGATTTTGAGAATGATGTTACATATACTGTCAATAGACAAAAACGTTTAAATATTCCATTGAATACAAATGAGTTCCTGCTAATTTCACAATGGTTTGTATATTGTTAATCAATATACCTATTCATATTCATCACTACACAGCTGACAAAGAAGGCGGGGGAAACATCAAATTTACTCTCTTCCTAAAATTATTCTCTCCACAATATAGCATGAAGTAATTTTCACATAGAATAAATCATTTCCCTCAGTCTTTAATATAAATTATACATGCTTATGTTAGGATTTAGGGCATTTTATTGCAATGCATAAGAACGTAGTTTTTTAATCAGAACAATTTTATTTTCAGCACTGGTTCTGCTGTTTATTAAATGCCTTGTCTTGCAGAATGTATTTTAACTTCTCTAAGATCTTACGTCCTCATCTATAGATTAAAGTCAACACACCTCAGGAAGGAGGATGTAATAAAATAGCCAGCAAAATGCACACAGCATAGATGTTTGAAGTGTAGTCCACACACTCGTAACTGAAGCCCTTGGGTTGGGATAATGCTATGGATTGAACAGTCCTCCCAAAATCCATACGCTGAATTCCTCACCCCCAAGGTGATGGTATTTGGAGATGGGGCCTTTGGGAGATAAGTAGGGTTGGATGAGTTCATAAGGATGAGACCCTCAGGATGGGATTAGTGCCCTTATATGAAGAGACACGAGAGAGCTTGCTCTCTCTCTCTCCGAGCTCTCACGAAAAAAGAAGTCATGTGAGCACACCGCGATGGTCGCCATCTGCAAATCAGGAGGAGAAGGGAGTCTCTCTCCATAACCCGGCCATGCCGGCCCCTTGATCTTGGACTTCTAACCTCCAGAACTGTGAGAAAATCATTGCCTGCTGTTCAAGCCCCACCTTCACCTCACCCCCAGTCTATGGTGTTTTGTTACAGCTGTGCAAGTTGACTAAGACAGATACTTTTAGATTGTATTTTTATTGGCAGAAATGGTGGTGGCTGGTAGTTGAGGTAGTTGTAATGGTAGCAAGAGTGTGGAGGTGAAAAACAGATGCATGAATCTGAGTAGACATTTGAGAGGTTGGAGGTAGATAAATAAAAACATCATTTGTAAAGTGGGATGTATGTAGATTATCCATATTTATCTGGAGTCATTTACTAATGGATTTTGAATCTCAGTTGAGGTGGGAAGGCCCTCTTTGAATGGAATTGAGACCAAACCTGGTGGTGTGGTTTCTGTTCTTTCCTGTGGAGGAATGCTTTTCCCTGTACCCTTGGCACTTTATTGCTCATAGCCCAGGAACCACGGTGCTGCCAAAGGAAGCCTTTTAAGACTCAGGGAGGCACACAAATACACATACTCACTGACTGCAATGCCCCATCTTGTGTGAGTATAGCTATTTCCTATTAAGGAGTGAGTTAAACATGAGTCAGAATGTATAAGTGTTTCCATGTAGGTATTCAGTGTTGCTACAGAAAAAAAACTGATGACGGATAATAAGGAAACATACATTTGGTATTTTAAATAGTACCTTAACTCTTTGCTATTACATTAACAGAAGCCACCACATACAGATAAAACTGATGTTAAAGACTTGATGTAATAGACTGCTTCCCAAGCCAAGGCCTTTTATTTGCTACTTCCTTGTTTTGGGATGATTTTAGATTTATAAAATGTTTGCGAAAATGGTAGAGAGAGTTCCTATGAAAACTTTACCCAGGTCCCCTTAATACTACATCCTAAATAATCATGGTACAGTTTTCAAAACTAAGAATTAACCTTCGTAAAATCACATTAACCAAACTACAGATTCTATTCAGAAATCAACTGGTTTTTTTTCCACTAATGTCCTGTTCTGCTTTGGGATCCATTCATGGATACCACATTGTATTTACTTATCCTGGCTCCTTGGTCTCCTCCTATCTTTGATAGTTTCTCAGTCTTTTTTTTTTTTTTTTGTCTTTTTTCTTTTCTTTTGCTTTTCATGACCTTGACAGTTTTGAACACTACTGGTCAGGTATTTTGTACAATGTTCCTCAATTTCTGTTTGTTTCAATTAAGCTGGTACGATATTTCAGAAGTCTAATGACAACCGATAATTTGGGGAAAATAACGTGAGTTCATCATGGCTGCAGAAAAGTTATATTCTGATCAGCTAGCTGCATGTTTTTTTGTTGTTGTGTGTGTGTGTGTGTGTGTGTGTGTTTTGCTTTTTGGACATAGGTTTTCAAACTATTTTTCTTGGTGATCGGAGTAAAATAATAAAAAGGGCCTGGCACAGAGAGTTTGGAAGTGTCATTGTGTGTCGGTGTGGTGACATTCAGCCTGAGTCAGCACCCCTCCCACTGGAAGAACGAAATAAATGGAAGCAAAAGATCACCTCTCTGTTACCCTTTGTCTCCCAGGGCTTTAACAGTATACTATGTTCTGCGTTAGGCCCTAGACCTGATGCCTTAGATGAGTAGGCTGGGGACATTTCAAAGACGAGCAGTAAAAATGACTGTCTGAGACCAGGAAATCAGTCCTCTGAGAAAAACAAAAAGGAATAGGTTTTATTTTGCTTGTAAATGAAAGATACAAATTCTGCGACAGCATGAAAGAGAACCACATAAATGAATTTAGGTACCTGATTTTTATTTCTGTTCCATGAGACAAAATACACAAATGCCCTGTATTAGCAGCACATGGGAGGAGAGACACAGTTCTCTTCAAATGCCGCTTGGCTCTTCAAGGGCCTCTAAGGATGGCGGGCCCATTCGGCCGGTTAGCAGCGGAATCATGGCTTCTAAGGAGGTTCACCTTCTCCCGCAGTTTCTCTTGGGGGATGACACTCCTGCCTGCCCCATCACTGTTGAGATGCTGCTTCCCTCTCTCCTGAGGAATTAACTGATTTTACCTTCTCAGCGTTATGTCCTAAACATGCCAGCTGTCTCCTTAAACAGGCTCCTGGGCACCCTTCAGATTTTCCTTCTAGAGAATTCCAAGTTGTTGCCAAAACTCCAGAAGTCCCCAGGATCCCCAGATTTTCCGACGCATCAGCCAGCTGACCAGCTTGCCATAATTTCACACCCTCTTAATTCCTCCCGGTTTTCCTTTAGATCCATCCTTTTTCCTTAGTTCTTTCTCCTTTTCAGGGTGATTTTACACAAAGGACATCCTTTGTCCATTTAAGACGCACTGTGAAGTAGATGGCAGATTTCTTGGCTTTAGTTCATAGCCATAATTACATTATTTAAGGAGGACCCATTCACAAGCTTTAACTTAACCAAATGTCGAATTTAATGGGCCTGTTCTCTCACAAGATATTGACCTAATGAACCCTGCACTTCAAAAAGATGTTGGTGAGGAACTGGGGAGAATTTCTGAGTACAGGAGTTGTCATACCCGAGGCTTCCATCGCACTAAGGAGAGGCACAGAAGCTTCATCTCTAGAGATTTTAAAGAATACAGAAGAAAGTGGCGTATCTGGGTCGGCTTATATTTGTGTTCCCTTCTGAAAGCAAGATACTACAGAAGTGATAATTTGGGGTGTAGAATTCAATTATTTGTTTATAATGGTATCAGATGAACATATCAATACAACAAACAAATAAACAAATAAGCAAAGCCCATTCAGGAATAGTTATTGCAGGCTTCGGCTCTGAGTAATTCTAATACTTAGCCCCGGGTCTTTGTCCTCTCAGGAAATATGTATGGTACTATTGAAAGACACACTTTGTTTTTATAAAAAGTAGCTAATATACATAACTCTATATGCATCTATCTCTGTAGAAACACTCACCTATTTAAATATAAATGGCAGGACCAAAAAATTTTTTTAAAAAAGTCTTTATTTTTTCATTGGAGTATAATTTAAAGTTCATATTTATGAGAAAATTCTCATAATTACCAACTTTGTAACTCACAAGCCTTGCATCCTCCACCATTGTTTAATGCAAAATACAGATGCTGTTATCTGTTCATATTAGAAAAATGCTTTAAGAGCAGTATGTCTATCTCAATTTTTCTCATTTTGTGTAGTTGGAAAGACCAAAATGAATGTTTTAGTGCTTTCTGATTCTATTATCTTGCTTTCTTTTTATCCAGAGAAACAATTTTGAAATTCATAAAGGACAAATAATGATTCCAAAATTGGCACCAGTGGCAATATTTGAGGAGGCCAAGTGTCTTTTTTTTTCTTTTTGACCTGAACACATATAGTTCTCTTTATTGCATTTGCTTACCATGCTATCAATAAAATACAGGGAGAGAATACACATATGGTTTAGAGTCACAGCCAGAAATGGGATGCTTCACAGCAGCAGCAAGTTTTCAGTTGAGAGTGTGAAACTGTCATCATTATCATGAGAATGAAAACTAGTTGAAGAGTAGACCTGCTGAGCAGTACCCCAAGAAGCAGCAATTTTTAGAAACAATCACAGCACTAGAAGGATACTCACAATTTCTCTCTTCCACTCCCGGCTTCCAGAGAGCCCCACACTGACATGATAGAAAACAAAAAGTCCTTTCACTCTGCTCAAGATGTTCAGGAAAGAACCGTGTCTGTGGGGTTTTAGTTTCTCTAAATGAGAATATTCTCTGGCTCTACATCAACATATGTTACTTGAAATTCATAGTGTTTTATTTTCATCAGTCAGTGGCAGAGGTGGAACTGGATAATCAGTGAAAGCTCTATTCCCCTGTACAACCAGTTTGTTTTTATTTTATAGACCCAATTAGCATAGGGTTCAAT